TCACAACATGGCCGCAGGTGGGGAGGAAGGGAACAGGACCTCACATCTTATGGGGCTCAGAGAGGCTTAGGGCATCTCACATCTTAGCAGCGCACAAAGTCTCTGCTGGTCTGACAGTACAGTGTCCGAGGCAACACCGGGTGGGATGTAGAGATACCACCGCCCTCTCTTGAGAACACATCAAGGGGGCTGGCAAACCACCCTGGCAGCTGCTCTGGCTGAACAATAACCCCATAATGAATAAAAAAATGCAGCAGTGCAGCCTGCAGCTGACGGTGGAGGCACAGGCAGGAGGCAGGCAGCTGGGGGAGGGAAGGGCTCTCACGATGCCTACGTGAGAAGGACACTATCGTTTAATTTAAAGAAGAGTTTCTGGCTGGGGGAGTCCCGGCAGCTCAAATTCCTGGGCCAATGCTTCACTTCAACCGGTCACAAATATTTTTTTAACAATCCTGAAGCAGCCGGCATGTGGGTCAGGTGTGTCATGGCAGAGAACAAAGACACAGACACTTCGTCTGCACCGAGACTTGTGGAAAATTTCCCCTCTTCTCGCTGGAGCGCCTGGCTGGCTCCAGCAGGGCTCCTGGCCTCTGCAGCTCCTGTTAGCTGCTTGCTATCATTTTGTATATCCTCTCATGTAGGTTGGCTCTGGGCAACTTAGCGAAGATGGTAATTAAATATTGGGTCTGGCCTCCGCGAAATCTCCTAGAGCTGTTACAGGAACCGATGGTGAGTTTCAAAACTCCTGACACAGCTGGAGATGAGGACATCTCGGAGAGGCAACCATTGACTAAGGGCCACAGAATCTCTGTCACGCCTCAGGTGGCACCTTGCCCAGGAACCAATCATCTCCCCATGACACTGGTCAGCCAGGCTTGCAGAAAGGTTCTCCATGCCCTTTTACATGCTGCAGAAGAGATCGGAGCTGCTATAATTTCTATAGCTGACTGTATTTCTCCGTGACTATAAACTATTACAGTAATATGCAGTTCTGTTGAAAAATTACATTCATAATTTCTATGTACATTATGCAGAGCTTGCAGACAACCCTATTCCTCCTTCTCCCCCAGTTTTAGAGCCCTGTTTTTAACCTGAATGAACTGTTTGACCTCAAAGCCAAAATAATGTCTTCCTTAAGCAATAAATCAGGCTGGAGAATTGAAGTAACTTATCAGAAAGTGTCACATCACTGTGGCTTTTGTGCAAGGGACAACATTCAGGCCTGTCACTGTGGAGTCATCCCTTCTCGTGCCGGGGCAGCTGCTCTGTTTATTTGCAGAGCCATTGTGCCATGGGGAAGCTGGAGATGCCTGATATTTAGCTGTGAGCTAATGCTTCTGCCTCCAGCCCCACAGCCACGCAAAGCCTGCGAGATCTCCTCCAGCCCGCTGGGATTAACTCAGCCAACAGCTCGGGCAAGCCCTCCTTCCTGACGGTTAGAGCAAGGTGGGTCAAATGCTTTGCTGGTCAGGAAGGGATGAGAGGCTTCCTTCTGCAGAGGTGGAGGCCACCACCAAACCAGACTGGGTGCTTATGAAGAGGCAGCAGACGTCCCTCGGCGGAGCAGCACAGCGGGCGGCAGCTCCCGGGGCTTGGCAGGAGCCTGGCTCTGTAAACCATACAAACAACCCCCTCAAAAAACACTGACCTCTGTGGGGATGCTTTGCCTGCACCCACTGCAAGGACTAGGGGCCAGCTCCAGACCCCCAGGACCCTCCTGCACCACAGAGTGGCTGTGCTGGGGAGGTGGGCTCTGGAGGGGCCGCGCTGGGGAGCTCTGTGCCAGGAGGAGCAGCTCTGCCCAAAAATGACCCACACTTCACATAACTGCTTAGTTTTGGGTGTAGCTGGGGGGAATAGTGTGCTCACCGTCAGGTACAGCCAGTGAAACAACAAGGCGGCTCAGTTTTCACTGAAAACTATGTTTGTTAATCAGCTGACAGTGAGGCAGTCTTCAATTCTGTTTTTTGAGGAGGGGAATTTTTATTTTGCAGAAAGTTTCAAAATATGGACTCCTGTTCCTGTCTGAAAAACAAACCCGTTTTAAAGAGCCCGGATTTTCCTGAGAGCAGAAACCCTGGTTTCTGGCAGGGGGCGGCAGAGGGGGTGCTGAGGCTGAAGGCGGGTGGGAGGCCCGGGGGGTGCAGGGGTGCAGGGCCTTTCCCCAGCCACCTCAGGCAGGAGCTGCTGACGCAGCCTGAGTGACACCGCATGGTAAAACGTGGGGAATGCAGACGCCCGGCGTGCACGGTTACAGGTGTGGGCATGTGGCACGGCCATCGCTGCCTGGCTCCGGCTCCGGTGCCAGCTGCGCGTCTGAGCCTCCCTGGGTCGTGTTGTGCCAAAATGGTGGCACTCCTCACAGCCCCCGTCCCCCCCCACGCCCGGGAGCAGCAGGAGCAGCAGCTCCCTTGCACTGCCGGCTGCCAAGCGGGAGCAGGGTCTGGCCCCTTCACCTGCCCCTGGACCCCCTCTCACTCCCCTCTAGCTTTTGGGCTGAAGGAGAAAGTGCTTGGTGAGCTGCAAAGCAAAGGGGAGGGCTCTGGCAGGACCTGCAGACTCCACTAGGGCCAGGTCTAGCCAGGAGATACAGATATGTGCTTTAAGTGGAAAATACTCTAATACACGTCACTTTCTCTCTTTGGAGACTATCAAGAGAAGCAGCCGTCGTTTCAAATGGCACTCACGTGCCAGGGGTTACCCGCACCGTGCCAGGACTGGTGACCCCATCGGCCGAACAGAGCACGGCTCAGCTGAGAGCTGCTCCTGGGGCAGCTCTTCTGGAGACATGGGTGATAACATAGGCATTAAGTAGCTGGAAACATCAGGACGGGAGAGCTGGGGTAGAGTGAGGGAAGGGAGAGGTGGTAGTGACAGAGCAAACACCGCAGCCCAGAGCAGAGCGTGGGGGAGAAAGCCTTCCCGCTGTAGAGCAGTGTTTGGAGGCTCAGTGCTGCCAGGTCGGTGATGCTGGGGCGGGTTCACCTGGTTTCCATACATATCCATTGCCCATTAGCCAAATTTACATTCAGCTAACCTTACATTGCAGTGCATGAGCGATCACCAGCCTGGAGACACAGCTACAACTCCTGTTTTAAGAAGTGTCTGCTTTTGGTTTCAGACCCAAACCCCAAACCAGTCTGACCAGCTAGAACCCAGTTTCAGGTAACACCCTGCCTTGCTCTCCAGGTGACTTAGTGGGTAATGATCTCACTCCCAGCACACCTCAGCCAGTAGCTGCTTCTCCAGGTATCCACAGATGTTGCATCCCCCCCTCCCAGCCCTCCCCAAGCCATGGGACCGCTGCTGCTGCAGCAACACCCGAGCGCTCTCCCCTGAGCTACCGCAGTCTGGGCAGATGAAAGGGTGCGAGATAGCAGGCATGGGAACGGTACCTGCCCCCTCTGTGGGTCACTGCTTCTCAGACACCACTCCCAAGCCAGATAAGACAAACAATTCCTGTTTATTATCACTGTGAGTGTGCACACGCACACACAAAAAAATCAAGATGTTAAGTTTATTGCATAGGCCATGATAGGCTGTGGGGAAAACAAAGAGATGGAAGAAATGATACGAGACAGATCATGAAAAGCCATGGAGGAATCTGACCAGCCCCAGGGACACTGAGGCAGATGCCTGTGATGGGGAGAAGCATGCAGTCAGATTGCCAGCAGGCTGCAGGCGGCCGTGCGCCTTTCCAGCCCAGGCAACGGCCCAACAAGGCAGCTCTCCTGGAGCTGCACTTGAGAGGACCTGAACCATGCCCAGAGCTGGGCATGGCTTCACCAGAGCCTTCCAGAGCCACTCTGCCCTCGACCCTGAAAGGGTCCAAGCATTTAAACTAAAGTCTGTACATAGATTGATGCTTCGTACACACATGCACACACACACACACATGCAAGCACACACGTACCGATTTCCTCTCTCTTCACAGCAGTTTTCCAAGAGCAGCACGCACTGGAAGTTTGGGGATCGGTGCCAACCCCACAGCCAACAAAGTGTACCAGGCACTTCAGAAATAGCAGCTTCTGTCCCCTGCAAAAGTCCTCAGCTCCCAGAGGTACAAGCCTGGACAACAGAGATGCAGCAGTACAGATCTGGGAAGCACCTCACTGCAAACAGCCTACAGGGGAACACACAGAACCTTGCCGAAGCGGGGATGGCCATGGGGCCAGGGATGAGCTCTGGACCTCCCGGGGCTGGGCTCATCTTGCACCGGGAGGGACAGGCCAGCAGGAGTGAGGAAGCCCAGGGACATTAGCCAGTGGTATCCAGCCCACTCCTGTGCTCTGGGAGATGCCAGGGACTCAGGTTAGGCTGCGTGCTCGGAGGACAGCGCAGTAACATCAAAGCTGCAGCAAAGGTCCAACTGCAAGGGAGCTGGGTCCTTCCACCCTCCCCTCACCATCAGCAGGACAAGTAGGGGCATTTCCTTTCCTTTGAGAATAAATAGATATTTTCTCAATACGTTTGGGTTCGGACTGAACACTGGAAAAGCAATCAGGGCAACTCACAGAGAGAAAATGGTGGACACGTAGTGTACATAGGAGGCTGTAACATGGCAGCCAGGCAGAAAAAAATCTAGGTGTGCTTTTCTGTTAAAAAGCAAAGCCTAGTGATTAAAGCAGGTATTTCTGTTTCCTTCCGTCTTGAAAACAGCAACCAATGGAGAGTGTCACAGAGCCCTTGGAACAGGTCTGGATGGTTATGTGAATCTCAAGAGTCTCACTAAGACCAGGAGGACTGCTGGGAGGCAGGGCCGCCTTACAGAGGACTGGGGGAAAAGGAGGAAAATACGAGGTTGGGTGGAAGAAAGTGGCACTGCAAACAAAAAATTGCTGGCTCTGGTGAGCTTGCACCTTTCACCAATGTGAATGCTACACAGATGCAGTCCCAGGGTCCTTCAGTAAGTTGAGCGGAGTTGTGCTCCGGGTTTGAGCAGGAAGAAAGATGTAATTCAGAGTTTCACTGGATTGTTTGAGGTTAGGAAGGGATAGACATCAGCGAGCATCAAAATGCTCCCAGATCCTCACTTTCCAGAGCACCCATTTAGCCAAGACAATCACAAACAGTAGTAGTGCCAAATCATGGCTAGATCTTGGCCTGATGCTACAAATTTCTTCAAAGAGAAAGAGTCCTTCAGGCACAGGCCTGTGTCTAAAAACAGAACTCCAGAAGTTTTGGGGAGTGCCCGAGTGCTGGGCTGGAGAGAGAGAGGCTGTAGGTCAGACTGGTTTGGTGACACTGCTGTAAAACAGATGCTCAGTGTCCTCTGTGGTGGAGAGGGTTGAGTTGGTAGCAGTGGTTGGCTCACGGCGGCGGCTGTTCTTCTTCCTATTCTTCAGGAAAAAGTAGCCAATGATTGCCAGGACCACCATGATGCAGATCCCGAGGAGCACGGCAATCACTATCTCAAAGGAACCTGTGGAGAACACATGAACATGTTAGAAGGGCTGGTGCATGAGCTCTGATGCAGCAGGAGCAGTCAGGAAGAAGCAATCACAAAAGCTGCTGCAGAAGCTGTGCTGGCAAAGAGAAGAGGTGGGCATTAGCAGGCCTGACAGCAGAGCGGTCACTGCACAACTGGGCAAGGAAGAAAGGCGGCAATTGCATGGCATAAGGGTATGGCCAGGGTATAGCCAGCCTGTCTCTCCCAAACGATGGTTCCCATCATTTCTCAGATGCACCACGCCCTCTAAAGGCTAATCGGTGGCTTCGGCAAGCTTGGCCATTTGACACCCCTATGAATATCCAGCCCTTCTGCAACACTGGCTTTGCTTCATATGTTAACAGGGAGGCCACCAAGGGGTGGTTGCAGAAAGCACGTCCTGGGTGGGATAATGCTGTCGGAGTGAGCTATGGTGGACAGGCTGAGTTTGTGGGGATAAAGCTTGTAGCAGTGCTGTGAGCACAGTCTTCTACAGCCAACCAAAGTCCTGCATCATCTGTGCGTTTGAGAACTGGTGTGAACCTGAAGATTAAATCAGTCTCTAGGGTTGAAGAATAGAAGTGTATAATTTCAGGAGTTCTCTACTGAAGAAAGAGGCCTTACAGCTCTGTGGTGAAAGGACACCAACCTTAAGGTGATATTCTTTTAAGAACTTGTAATTCAATGGTGTTCTTTGCAGTTGTAGAGAGGTATAGGGTCACCAGATTTCTCCACAGTCTAGCACCCACCTTTATTCACATACCCATCTGTGCCTTCTTTCTTGAAGTTGTTAGTGGCTCTTATATGAACTTGGCCCTTAGGAAGACTTTTACTTGCCATTTTTTGATGTTGAACAGTGAAACATTCATGCAAGATGACTGAAGGAAAATCAGGAGTCTCTGATATGAGCTACTGAGTCACAAAGGAGAAATTGGACCACAGATGCAGAGAAGCATCTCTTTCCACTGCTAGTATCCCACAAATCCCACATTGCTCCCTCAGCTTCAAAAGCAGGGTGGGAGAGAAGGCTATTATTTGTAAGGAAACACAAAATATTTTTCAGGACAGGGTAAAAGCAACAAGCAAGATCTGTAGGAAAAACTGTTACTCACTTAAGATAGCACTTTGGGACTCAAATGATTCCCATCTCCGGCCAATGGCATCTGCTTCTGAATTGGGAGCAGAGAGGGAGAAAAAAGTTTTACAAAGAAGGTTGGGAACAAGGAATAAGATAGGGTTTTGAGGAACATATTTCCAGTGCTCTGAAGTGACTGAATGCATACAGCATCCCTCTTGGCAGCCATGGTACTGAGGTTTCAGGGCAGGCTGGAAGGCACAGTGTAGCTGAGGGTGGCACTTCAGAAAAGCAGCAACAGTTTGCCTGCTAACAGATACTGTTTGGCAGAATTCCTCCTGTTTCAGCTGTTGGCCTCCACAGCAACACATACAGAGCTCTACAGTATAAACCTTTCCCTCCCATTTGTTTAAAACTTCTCCTAATATGTGCCACTGAGCATTTTCTTAGTTTTTCCCCTCCCACTTGGGGAGAACTGGAGCCAAGCTAGAAAGTTAGATTCTTTTTAGAGAGGCCCATGTGTCTGGTTAGTTTTGTCATCCTCCTCTGTCCCTTTTTCAACATCAGCACCCCAAATGTTCTCCAGCTCTGAGAAATGACAGGCTGCATTGAAGAAAGACCCTGTAGATACACACTGTTCCCTGTAAGCCATCAGCTTGAAGAACACTGTGAGGCATGGCCAGGGTTTGAGAGCAGAGCTGCTTTGACTGAAGGCTCCCAAGTCACTGCCTCTTTGGGACCACAGAATTTAATCTGGAGTGATTTTCATAGTTTGATCAGTAAAACTCCTGCCCTCACTATGTCTGCTTACTTGTGATGCCTGAACATGATTTCATGCACTCTTCCTCGTCTTCAAAGTTGTTGTTGTTGCCACCACAGCCCCCATAGGTGAAGGGGTCACATTTCTCAGAGAATGGGTTATAGTACCAGCGGGGGATGCTCTCAGTGCACTGTCCAGTATCAGGCAAGTCCACACAGTGACCTGGAAAAGCAAGGGAGAGGTGCTCTAGCCCAAGCAGTGTGTTCCCAGAGCAGCAACATTTTCTGCTCACAACAGAAGAGCACAAGCACCGTGACAGAGGGGATCCACAGCCAGACCAGGGGCTCTTGGGTCCCCACTGCCCAGTTGCGAACTGCTCAAATTGGCATTGCCAAGGTGAGCTTCCACCTGCTCATAAACCCGACTAGCAAGGTGGAAAAAGGGACATCAGAGCGTGCAGTCGTGCTAGACCTTGAATTCAATCACCTGCAGAAATGACCTGTCCCTGGGAGGCAGAAGGACACATGAAGAGCCTGGACACACAGAAACTACAGTTCAGCTCAGGTCTTCTCTACAAGCAAACTGCATTTAAGCTGACTTGGGATATACTCTTTCAGCCCAGTGGTAATGCCACTGTCTACACTAGTACAAACAAAGCAAAGGTATGGGATCGAGCACACGCATATGACTACTCATATTATCCCACTGTTGTGTCCCCCACACTGCTTTGGTTTGCACTATTTCCAAAAAAGTGCTTCAAGGTTTTGTACAGGTCAGGTACTGTGTCCAACAGACAATATGCATGAGACCTGCTTGGGTGGAAAAATTTTAGGCAGGAGAGTGAAAGCCTGCTATAAACAGCTGTCCTCAAGGTCAGAGAATAGGCCCTTGCTCATTTTTAGTACAGGCACTACCCAGATGCTACACCTGGTTTTGGAATTAGACAGGGAAGCAGTTTTACCATGAAACAACAAACTGAAGAAAAACCCAAAAGCTGGTAAATGTCAGCCAGGTGCTCTGGATGGTACGTACCTTGCTTATGTGTGACATTGATTTTCTGCAGTCTATTGAACTCACGAGCATCTGTGAGAGAAACATTTCACGTTAAAACTTCTCTCACCAGTTGAATACAAAAGAAATGACGCCATCCATGCAGACACGGGCAGACAGGGCTTTCCTGCACATTCCTTTGCTATCACAAGCCAGGGAAAGGGATATATAATTTGAGGTTCTTGGATATCTCAAAGCTATGAGGGGAACATGGAAAAAATAAAATGTAATAACGAGAAACTATTCCTGGTTTCTGTTCCACAAATACAGAGACAAAACTAAGGAAAACAAAGGCTGCTCTCCTAGGTTTTTTTTTTTCCATTGAGAAGTACAGGGAAACTGCTATCACTCCAGGTTTTAAGAAGTATGAAAGAGCACTAGTGTAGGATGTAAGAAAGGGCAATATGCTTGCAACCTAAAAAGGCAACAAAAGACCCACATATAGGAAAGAGATTATGGGAATTCTGTCAGAAAAGAGAGAGGGAGGGAGGAAGGACGGATTACAGACCTGGGCAGCTCGCTCATTTGCATTAGCATAACATGAGAATGTTAAGGGACAGACTGGGAGAAATCATGGTTTCACTTCCCATCTCCCTACTCTAGGAGAGCAGGTAAGGTCATTCAGTGAGAAAAATATTGGAAAGGGAAGGGACGACAGCCTCTGGAGTCTTACAGACAGGTGCAGAGATGAGAGTCGAAGAGTATTTAAGAGGCAGGAAACACCTCTTGCAGTCAGCAGAGATATGGGAGATGGCAGAACCAGCAAATATAATACTGTGGAAAGAAGTAATGCAGGGTCAGGAGATAAGAACAGAAGGCACCAGAAAGCACTGAGTCAACAACTGTAACTTACATTGCATTCGTCCCTGGGCAGATACTAAGTTGTCTAAGCCAGAATTTGAAGTACTTACATTGTTCACAATACATCTCATCCGATCCATCAGCGCAGTCGAGAGTTTCATCGCACTCCAGATAGGCATCAATGCAGCAGCCATCCTTGCATCTGAAGAAGGGGGACTGACAGTTCCCATTGCACACTGCATCAGAAACAGTTCAGAGAGCTCATTAAAACTCATTCTTTCTCCCTGCCACACAGATGCTTTATGTAGGACTGAAAAGCTGCTGACAGGGCTGGCAAACAAGAAACAAGACAGATTGGTTAAGGTCTCTCTTCAGTGCCACCCTGGACTCAAAAAAAAAAAAAAAAAAAGAAAAAAAACCTTCTTGTTTATAAATGAAAAATTTCTCTGGGAACAGCCATGTTTCCTCTCCAAAAAGAAGTACACAGAAGGTGGAAGCAAGAATGAGCTAGTCAGGAAGAATATGGAGACATTGCCCAAGCATGGGGGATTAAATTAGGAAAGCCAAACTGAAACCTGCACACTGGGCTGTAAGAGCCCAACGAGAA